TAGTTTGCTTGTTTTATTGCCAAATTCGTAGTAATGATATTTTGTTCTAGCCATTGCTGCCTCAGCTTTATTTGTACACAGGTTGTCATATAAAATACATTTTTGTTTTAAAGCACTAAGTAATTCTGGGCGTTTTGCTTTTGAATGGTCAATTTCCAAAGTCCTTATATCTTTTTCTATTTGAGAAAGCTGTTCCTTCCTTTGTTTGTTTTTATGTGAAACATATGAAATAATATGCCCCCTCATATAAGCTTTGAGCGCTTCCCATATATTTGCATGTGAGGAGGTATTTAAGTTTACTTCTAGATACATATCGATTTTGGTATTCATGAAAGTGACAAATTCTGGGTCTCTAAGAAGATATACTCTGAATCTCCATCTAGGAGAAGAGAAAGCAGGTTGGTGAAATTCTAACTTAATTTGTTATGATCTGAAATCGTAGCTGCTAAATAAGAACAGGTTTTAATTTGTGACAAAAGTGGGAGCGAGGTTAAAAACATGTCTATTCTTGAATAAGTGTTGTGGACATTAGAGTAAAATGAGTAGTCTTTGCTGGTTCGATTACGTAAACGCCATACATCCCCTAATCCTAATTCTTTCATGCCCTGAGCCAGAGCAACCGCGGATCTGGACTGTGCAACAAGTTTAGGAGAGGAGCGATCCATTGATGGATTAAGAACCAGGTTGTAATCACCTCCTAATATACATGGAGCTTCAATCACTGCCAGTTTTAGAACTAAATCTTTAAAAAATTCTGGGTTGTCTAAATTTGGGCCATACAAAGATACAAGTACTACCCTGTTTGTATTTATTACACAATCCACCAAAATTAATCTGCCGAATCTGTCATTCTCCATATAATTTAGCCTAAATCTGAGATTTTTATTAACAAGCAAGGCTACACCTCTAGCTTTGGATGAGAAGGAAGAGTAAAATACATGACCAACCCAGTCTCTGCGCAACTTTGAGTGCTCTATATCTGTGAGATGGGTCTCTTGAATAAAAGCGATGTCTGCGCTTTGTTTCTTAAGGTATGTTAAAACTTTTTTCCTTTTAATGGGGTTGTTAATCCCTCAAACATTCAATGATATACAGTTTAGTAGTCCTGTCCTACTCAATTTAAGTAATGTGTGTTACGGTGTGCTAGTGGACCCCAACGCAGAGACGGAGGCAAAGTGGCAGGTTCGAACAAAGGTTTAATCACTTAGGCAGACGAGACAGGAAAACTGGCCGGCTTGGAGCTTGGAGCTTGGAGCTTGGAGCTTGGAGCCCTGAGGACCCAACATAGAAAATTCTCTGGCAGCGTGGTGCTGAGACAAGCGGGCTTAAGACTGCAACCTTGATTGCGCAATCTGGTTCAGGTGTTCAGACTGCAGTCTTGATTGCGCAATCCGGTTCAGGTGTCCAGACTGCAGCACCAGCTGAAGTCAGCCACGCCCCCTGTCACACACTGCTGCAGGGAAACAGAAAAAGGGGAAAACACCAGAACAACCCCGAACATGACAGTGTGAAAAAATATTCTAGTTAAGTGACAACATAAAATGCACATAACTCGGAAAAAATAAAGAAATCTCTGACCCTTTGCCATAAGCTTACAGTTTTCAATATTCACAGAATGAACCCCATTGAGAGAGTGCCCCACATATCCCAATAACAATAAAAAAAGAAAAAAGAAAACCCACACTTTAACCCCCGATAAAGGAAAAAAAAAGAAAACAAACTGTGGGATAAACTCCACTTCTAAACAGTTGTGGCATCCCCAGCAGAGAACCCTTTTTTTTAAAAAAGGGAAACGATACGATTGCTCCAGCAAAAAAAAGAAAAACCTTACAGAACTATATTAACAATATTCAACAAAATCTACTTAACGTACCTGTGGTGTTCCCAGGATCAAGTGTGTCTGACCGTAACCTTTAAAGGCCAGCCAGTACTTATGAATTAACTTATGTAACTTTGTTTTACCGTTGATAGTCATAGTGTGCGGTCATCTCGCAAGAAAATGTTCTATCCCTCCTCCTGAACAGTGGACAGAAAGGTCTCCACTTCAGATGGGGCTGAAAAAAGTTTAAATCCTCCTCCATGTCGGATCCTCAGTTTAGCAGGGTAGCGGGTGGCATATTAGATATTTGTCTCCCGAAGTTTTTTCTTCACTTCATTGAAGGCGAGCATTTTGCGTTGCACCTCGATGCTGTAATCTGGGTAGAATGAGATTCGATTATTATCCATCTGTACCGTCCTCTTCTCTCTGGCCACACGGAGTACTTTGTCTTTATCCCTGAAGTTCAGAAATTTCACGAGAATAGGTCTGGTCCGCTCCGACGCTCGCCCCAGGCGGTGTGCCTTCTCAATGGTAGCCGGGGTTGGGAAGTGTTCCTCCCCGAGAAGCCGTGGGATTAGTCGTTCCACGAAACCAATCATGTCGGTACCTTCGGACTTTTCTGGGATGTTTATAATTTTGACATTTGATCTCCTGCTCCGGTTTTCCAAGTCGTCTGTTTTCTCCTTCAGGAAAGTTATTTCCTTCTCCATTTTAAGTATGCGAGCTTGAGCATCAGAGAGGTTGTCTTCGTTAGCTCCAATTCTGGTTTCCATTTCCTGTACCTGTTCAGCCAGCGCTGACATTGACTGTTCAATTTTAGTAAGCGATTGTTGGATGTAATCAGTTTTTTTATTTATATGCCCAGTGAGCTCCTCTTTCGATTCACGGATAGCCTTCATCAGGGATTTCAATGTTAATTTATCTTGATCAGCCGCCATCTTCCCCAGGTGAGAGGACTCTCTTAAGCCGACAACAAAACAAAAGAAAAACTTCCGAAAACGGCTAACTTTCAGCACCACTTAGTCAGGTTCGAGTAGTAGATACTTGTTCACTGGTTCAGGAATAAATTCTATATCTGGAGCAGTGTAGTTGCTAGTATAAAGTCATCACCGCTGAGGATTTACCTGGAGCTCACTGACACACGTCTGATTGCAGAGGCTGCATCATTGCTCACGTTGTATGTTATTTAATTGTAACTTATGCTAATTTTTAACCGTAAATTACCTTGAAGCTAAGAAGTAGTCGGTCAGTTAGCCATTTTCTGAAGTTGCCAAGGTGTTGCCTTAAATATTACACAAAGACAAATAATGTTCACATGCCAGTTAGCATTCTGTTGCTAGCTTTCATTAAGGAATAAAACTGTAAAGTTGTGTTTGTCAGGTTTTGTTCACGCTGTGGCAGTTTAGCAAATGGCATAATATAAATCGTGTCTTTTTCCTCCATACTACAGAATGTAGCATTCAATTAATATACATCTATATATGGGATCAGGACCAGCCTAGTGCAGCTGTCATTTCTCATTTAGGCAGCAGGGGTAGGCCAAAGTGTAGTAAAAGACACTGTCAGATTTTGTTTAGCTGAAAAAGATTCAAAATTATTTTTTTATTTACAAAAAAAAAATATTTTATTTTTTTCCTGTTCAGCATCATGGCAAGTAGAATGGTTAGTACCTGCAGGGGAATACCAGCTGCTGGAAGCTGTGTTTTCTTCTGCTCAGTTTGTGTGTTTTTCTTATTTTTGGGGTTAAATTAAATGTGTTTGTTTTTATTTTGTGGATTCTATCCCTCCCCATCAGCATAGTCTGTGGGGAGGCACTTTTTGGTTAAACACAGTGATGACAATGGACTCTGAACAGGACAAAGAAAAAAGGCCAGAGGATTTGGTAAGAAGACAATCCAGATTGACGGTGAGAGAAATCAAATATGAAAAAGATCTGACGATGGTAATAGAAGTAGAGGGTGAAGAAAACATTTCAATGGTTCATCAGACTTGGCATTAGACTCCTGTGTGGAGGAATAGTTGGATGTACGCCATTAGGTCCACAGGCATTTCAAATAACGTTGACTGTGTCAAGAATAAAAAGGAGAATGTGTCTGGAAACATGGATCACGGATGGAACAAGATTCCTGAAAGTAAGGTTTACAGAAGCTGTGCAGTCTCTCCCGTACTCTGCCAAATGTAACACAGCAAACGGACCTCAGCTCTTTAGAGTGATGGATGACAGACAGGTGGAAGTGTGCAGAATATGTCTGCAGCTGGAACATCTGGTCAGAGAGGGCCCAGACTTTAACGGTCACCAGTGATGAGGACATGGACATTATGCAGGGAATGCTCTGAGGGAGGAGGAAGATGTGCAGTCTGCCCCATCTGATCAATAAATGTGAGAAAAAGAATGAGCCAGGAACAATGAGCCAAAAGAAAGAAAATGAGCTAAGGGCAGACTGCACATCTTCATCCAATGCTGAATCTTATCTCGCTTAATGTAGCGAGTTTAAGGAGCAATAAAAGAGGAATTTTTAATGAATAAAAATAGTAATACAATATGCTTGTAAGAAAAAAAATTGTAAAAGGAAAATTTATTCTAGTAAAGGGATAAACGATACCAGTGGAGTGGGAATACTAATGAAAGATGATGATTTCATAAATATTAGAGAAATGTAATGATGATATTGTTGGATTAGAGATGTGAATAACAAAGACATCAGAATAATAAACTGCTATGCACTCAACACATAATCAGAAAGGAAAATATATTTTGAGAAATTAAATTTATGAATAATAATATTCTACATTTAGGAGATCTAAATGTGGTACTCTCACGACAGGATGTCTCGACTGCAAATATAATTAGTACCGCTTCTAGTAAAACAGCTTTAATTGATCTAAGTAAAAATAATTTAAGCTATTTGGAGATTATTTAATAAAAACAAAACAGCTTTTTCTAGAAGATGTATATAGAATGTTATTTTTAAATCAAAGAGGATTAAATGTAGAATAAATGAGACTAAAAAAGAAAACCATTCATTGGCTAAGAACTTACCCAGAATATGTCCCTCCCCTCTTCACCGGAGTCATCAGAGGAGCTGCAAGATTGAAAAGGTTTCCAGTTTACCGATGACCAACAGGTGGGTGAGCACTGAGAGGCATTAGTAACTGTTTCAATGATAACAAAGCATGTCAGGGAGCTGAGCAGGTGGGGGTGGCCACAACAGAGTCCAGGGTTTTCATCCAGCAGTGCTACGCTCTTTATGAGGACACAGGGATAAGTTTGTTGTTTTTTCATGCAAATGTGGGCTGATATCTTTACTGTGTTTGTGTCAGTGTATTGGACAGTGCAGACTGTTTGAGATCTGTGTTGGTGCAGGAATTCTCTAGTAGTTTTTTGTACGGGGTTTGGAATAGATTAAGACTTCCTCCCTCCTGCTTTGCTTTTCTTGACTGATTTTTTTCTTCTTGTTCTTCATGAGTATTTGTGAACGCCACACACGCTCTCCCGGGGGTCTCTTCCTGGCTCTTCTTGACAGAACCATAACTCCTGACGCCTCCTGGTTCTGCACGCCCTCATGTGGTCGGGTTATTTTAGCCATGGCTTTAGCTATGACGTCCGTGGAAATGTTTGAGGCAGCCTTTTTCAGATGAGGCTTCGCAATAGCAAAACCCCTTTTAACAAAATAATCTCGAAAATATGTATCCTAATCCTCGGCCGTACATCACAGGAGCCCCGTAGAAACCGGGTAGAGCGCCCCCTACCTGGCTCTGTTAGTAGTGGACAAAACGGTGTGGGTCATCTCTCAGATTTACGTAAACCATGTTGTTTTTTTTCTTGGTTATAGTCACTATTTTGTCACGCTTCAACACGCTGCAGAGTTGTCATGAATGGCTGCACAGCTCTGAGTGACCCCACCTGCATTCACCCCCTGTTTTTTATATGAACTGTTTTAATTTATTTGATCTCAATGCCTGGTCATTTCACTGGTCTGATGCATTTTCCGTATGAGAATTTCACCGGGACATTCCCATCCGTTTTAATTTCTACTTGTATATTTTCGATGTGTTTCTTTGCAACAGGGAGGTAGTCGGGGTTATAAGTCAGTGTGCTAAGCTGTATGAAGCTGACACCCCACCCACGTCAAAAAATTCTGCAAATAGTCTGAATGGTTAGTGCTCCGTTTGTGCAGGTTTGTGCCGTTAAAATTTTCGTTTGTGCAGTTTTGGTTTCTGAGATATTAAAAATAGTTTTTTAGGTCATCTAGAGTTCACCATCCCCCCATATCGCTCCAAAACAAACCAAAGTGGGCTAGTTCGTTAGTGCTCCGTTTGTGCCGGTTTGTGCAGTTAAACCTGTCGTTTGTGCAGCTTTTGTTTTCGAGATATTAAAGGTTATCATTTTGGCCGATGACGTCACCCCATCTTGCGCCAAACAAGACATTTTTTCTTTATCGCTATTATGTGGCCACCACCAACTGGTCTGTAAGATGGACCACAATGTCACTCAAGGATTATACTATACAAATGACTAGATTTGATTTGACTTTATTTGGCGCTTTCAGAGTTTAAGATTCTGTTGATTACGTCTGAATGTGATGACTGGGTATGATTATCCCCTAATTATACCCAATTAGGGGACAATTAATTTCACCTGCTGTAGGCTGTACTTTCTGTTTTAGTTCTTCGTCTTCCCGCATATTCCTGTCATGTAAGTCTTGTTTTCGGTGTCGTTTTTATGCAGTTGATGTTGCTATGTTTTGGTAGAAAAGGTATTATAAATCGTGTATACAGTTAGAGTAAGACAATATTTCTGGTAATTGTCTTTTTGTTTTTTTATGAAGTTGCATGTGCCTCATGGTTTGCTATTGACACACCCAAATATCTGTAGTGTGAGGCAAAGGGTTTCTATCCTAATTGAGAAGTTATCAACCATGAAAGTGACTGTTTTGAAAATGCAATTTAATTATACAGTCA